AGCCGCCGCCCCCCCCATCACGATCCGCCGGGCGGACCAATTGCACCAGGTGCTTTATGTCCTCCAGGAGGCAGCTGCATTACGGTACCCGATCGATCTCACAGCCTTGTTTCGTGTCATACACGGGGACGCGACCCAGAACGTAGCTCTCTCAGCACCCACGCCGATGGTCAATTCCATGTGCCATTTGTACCAGGCTGTGTTTTCCAATTTTCCGACGACATTTTGAATGGCGTCGTTCTCAGCGATCTGAGCAGTCGAACATATCGTGCGCTACGCCGTGATTCCCCCGAGTATGAGCGTTGCGTCTTACGCGTGGTTAATGGTGCGGTCGTCCAGTCCGTCTTCCCGACTCAGATCACCGGGTCAGCCCGTGGACCACGGGCTGAGATACAACTCGACAAGGCAGCCGCCGCGCTGCTCGTCCGGCAGCTTCTACCTCAGGGCGTCCAGGACACGTCTCGACGATGATCCCAGAGAGCATTCGCTCCCAAATTCCCGTCGTTCACGGGGAGCAGGTTTGTATTCGGTTTCAGTCGGTGAAAGGATGCACGTTCACCAAGTGTAAACATCTCCACAAACTCTACCAGTTGCCGCCAGATGTGGTCCACTGGATCAATGCGATGCATATGGGTGTCAAGGCCGCGCACCCCCAACGCGAGTGAAATTGTGGGGGAGGACCGTGTATCACCTCATCCAAGTTTTTACTTAACATGGATCGTGCCGTTTTTTCTCCTCCCGTGCATTCTAATGCGTCTGATGCTTACCCTTTCTTGACACCAATGTCTGAAACTCGAGTCGCCCCTACCATCCGTACGCAGGCTTCGGAAGCCTGCTCATGCTACGTCGTTCCACCTGACGGGGCCATTGCGACGTCGGGCGTCACCATGCTTACCGTGAGGGTCCTTGCGTCAGACGCACACCCACATCGATTTGGTACACCAAATGTTCCTGCTTCGTCACCGGACGCTAGCATGACCGCTCAGAGCGTGTCTACTGAGAGATCCGTTGCGTCAGACGCCACCCACATCAATTTGGTTCACCAAGTGTTCCGACTTCGTCACCGGAGGTTGCTATCACCGATCAGATCGTGTTTAACGTGGGTCACGAGGCGTCAGACGCACACTCAGGTCGTTCTGGCTCACCAAGGTTCCTACTTCGTCACCGGACGTTGCTAGGACTGTTCAGAGCGTGTCTAACGTGGATCACGCGGCGTCAGACGCACATTAACATCGTTTCGGCTCATCAAGTGTTCCCGATCTACCATTCTTCGTTGATATGGCCGCTCAGAGCATGCCTCGTGTGGGCCCATTGGCGTCGGGCGCTGACTCACAACGCCCCAGTCTCCATCATTCCGTCATCTTTGCTTTCTTCGACGGGGGATGCCGGAGATCCGACAATCAAAGTGCTTACGCGTGGTGTGTCTGGTCCCGTTCAGGATCACTCCTCCGTTGGGAAGCTCGCACGTTCTCCACAGCAAGGACCAATAACGTCATGGAGGCCCAGGGTCTTCTTGCGTGTCTACTGTAGCTCCGATCTGCCTTTCAAGGACAGCACACCGTTGGGTTCGGGGACTCCAGTGTCATCATCGACCAGGATCTATAGATCAATGTGTGCCGGACACCTGGTCTCCGGCCCTGGATTTATGCTATTCGTGCCCTCGGCTCGACCAAGTCGTGCACGTTTCTTCAGCATGTCAGTCGTACATACAACATCGCTGCCGACGCCTTTTGCAACTGGATTATGGGTACTCATCCCAGCGAGGTCCTGGTCCTCACGGGCGCACTCTGGCCTTGTCCGACATTGTTTCCGCGAGCTCTGATGCCGGCGTGTATGAGCCAAGTCCCCACATCACCGTCGTTCCAGGAGGCCGCCTCGGAGGCTCACCAGAAGGCGACCTGGTCGCTTGTTCTCTGGGATTTTTAATGTTCACTCTGACCAGGGATTATATATGAGAAGACGGTGGCGCCGACGGCGAACCCGGCTCAAGCAGCACAATGGCTGTCCTGGTTTGATGGAGTGGAGGTAAATGAGCTGAGTGACGGCCAGTGGGCTATGCTCGCTTTTTACGCGACGGTTTTAATCATAGTGATCGCTCTTACACCATCAATGGTGAAGGATATCAACCACCATATGCGTGCTATTTACACGCTTATGCTCACCAGCCTACTGACCAACTGCTTGGTTGGAGCCATCGACCCCGCCGGGAGCTGCAGAGGCTACGCCCGGACAGCCCCTCCCCAGCAGACAGAGAAGTGGTCATGATACTGCTCTTCCAGCATTTCTGCTGAAGAGATCTAGGTCGGTGGATGCTGGGGTGTCCAGCTCGCTCTGGGCAGGCCCGCACGTTTTTCACATCTTTGCTCAGTATCTTCGACAACCCGTCACGGTGTTAGATGTGAGCACAGATGGGGATGCATACGCTCAACTCTACATCTACCAGGATTTTGAGGTTCCTCAGGCTGATGAAACCGAGCGACTCACTCATGAGACAGGCACCTACACTGTCTTGACAGACCAGGAGACGAACAGGTAATGAATGGAGCGGCCAAAGCTCTGCTGCCCGTTTGGAAAAGTCCATGTGGGCTTCGGTCCAAGCTGTCATGGCTGGGGTAGGAGGCTTGGAAACCTGACCGGATCAATTGCATGCGGTGAGGGCTCTGTACCAGTTAGCCACGCCCTTTGGGAACCTCTGCTGTCATTGACATGGCAGTGGACGTAGGGATGACGTCAACGCCAGTGATCTCAGGGCGTCAACGTGGTGGCTAATGGTAAGTACAGAAGCAGTAAAGTGGGTCGACAGTGTCTAGAATGGCTACCATACGCGAACCTGGCAGAGATCCACTTGTTCCACGGGAACCTCGGTCGGTATTTACTCGCTCCGACCATGGGCAGCTCGTCAAAACATGAAAGTGAATGAGGAACATCATTCACTGGAGGGCTCCAGGGAACGGGGTCCTGCACTGTACGGTCCTGATCAGACGGAATCTCCTGACACCTTGGATGCGGTCTCTGGTCGAGCGATTTCTGGTATGCCTGGTGACCAACTTTCCTCAACTGCTGAGAGTTCAGGTGCGCAGCGATGAGCTCAGGCTTCTCGTAGCCCCGACGATACACCCAGTGGTGGTAGAGATGGATCATGGACGGCCACTTAGAGCTGGTCTCTCCACGGAGCTCGGGACACTGGACATGGATCCCAACAGTTCAGAGCTGCAGGCAACTGACGCGACACGCTGCTGATGCTCAAGGGCCACAGGTGCAGGTAAGGGCTGCCCACCCATACTCGCGCGTGTGCCGTTTGGTGTGCCTCTGGATCGACCCGATAAAATGGCAGAGCAACTGGAAGCAGCTGAGAGCGGTATTGCATACTATGGCGGATAGGCGAAGCAACCCCAACTTAGCTCAGCGCCGCGGAAAATAGGCTAAAGCTAGCTCGGAAGCAGCAGCCGGACTGAGTCAGCTCAGCTGGAAGGCACTTTGTCGCATCGTGGGGGTGGGACCATGGATCGAGCAGCTTCTCTATCGGATCAAGATCAGCGCGATTTCGATCGATGACCCAACGACCGGTGTACGGTACACTGTACCTGACTGTTCACACGGGCGTGGAATGCTTCCACATTTTCTGGACCTGTCCCGCGGAGGTGCACCTTTGGTGAGGTTTTCTGCGTCCATGGACACGGGCTAGGCTAGAGCCGGTGTATCCGCGATTTTACACCCAGGTCGCAAAAGACGTCCCGAGATACACCTCTCGACACTTAAATCAGGCGACGCCCGCTTCTGGTCCGTCGCAGAAGTTCTGGAGCAGCGACACTAAATGTGGCAAGAAAATGGATTTTTGTGTGGTTTAATATTTCTATTTGTGGCATTAACAACTAGCGCAAAGATCACATACTGTCTACTGTATCACTAGCGACGTGTCCGTGAAATGCGCCTCGTGCAAGTACACGTAGCTCAGTACTGATCAGCGGGAGCCGTGAAGGATGTACCGGGAGGGCAGCTCTTGTCGAACGCGACGATAGACCACGCCAGCTTCGCGTCGTCCCAATACACCCGAGATCCCTTCATGACGTTGGTGCTTGCCACCCAACGGTACATGAGCACGTACGTGCCAACCGCTGTGGTACCGGGATCTTTGTCTGCCCACGACCACACCTAAGCCGCCATCTGCGGTGTCCAAGGCGATGAGGCCCACGACCCGTCGTTGATACTTGGGAAAACTGTCACCGTTTATATTGCGCGTAAGCCTCCTGTTGCAGCGAGCGAAACGTATTGACGCTATTCTGACCACGACCGGATCCAGTTTGTGTTGCTGTAAACGTGATGTCATTGATCAGACGCTTGGCGTCTTGATGAACTCAACCGTCAGCTGCTTCTTATCCATGCACATGTCGTACAGACTGTATGCAAACCCCCGTCTTGGTGCTTGTGAGGTCCAACACCTGGTGGCCAGCGCTACTAGACTCGTTGATGCTACCGCCTGCCCACATGCCCTTGGTCAGGACGTCGAGCGCCATCACTGGAGCTAGCAAGTCTCCAAATGTGTCGATGGCGTCGAACTTGTCCGATCGCTTGATGTCCGCACCAGTTTCCAAATACACCACTTTGAACTCCGTCGGATGCGCGCTCAGATACGCCTTGATCTCGTCCATGGAATCTTTTGTCAACGGCTGCTCGAACACTTTAATACCGAGATTCGACCGGAAGCGGCCCAACACCTCCGGCCCTCAATGCGTCTTGCCGAACGCTCCGAAGAGCCCCAATCACAGCGTCCGAGCGAAAGTTGCCGCAGTGAGATCGTTGAGGAAGAAGTGTGTGTCGGCCTCGATGAACCCTAATGCCGATATCGAGTTGGTCCGTCATACTCAGCACCTGGTCGTTCGTCTAGACGTAGGGATGCATTAAACTAACACTACGTGAACCTCGAATTGAACCTTTTCCATTTAGCTTGTATCCTCGGCCACGAAGAGAATACCCCTGATCGTGTCATCCTTTAGAGCACCATGTCGCTTGGTTACCGTGTTGCCTGCCGTGGAAAATGCACGTTCGGAAGGTATTGAAGTGGCTATACAACCCAGCCATTTACGAGCAAGAGGAGAAATTGTTGGAAACTGCGTGCGAATTTGTTTCCACCACGAAAGGGTCGACGGCAGCTTCTTCCCCACAGCTCTGCGAGATAGTCCAAAATTTGGACTCCAAATGGCAGTCGACTTGGAGCATGCTGTTGTGGTCTAACTAACTTCAACTTGCCGCAAATTATTGTTTCGATTTGATTGGCAATCCTAACTGATTTTAACAAATCAGCAGTAGCGATTTGTCTGGGTGTCGGCAAAGCATCGGCAGGACGTCCCTCGTAAATTTCGGACGTCCCTCTCGAGCGACGTCGAGTCGACATCCAAGACCGCGACGTCGACAGCTCTAGGCTAGGCTGAGTGGCGGGGACTTACTCCAAGGCATCTTCAGTTTTGCGCTTCCAATGTGCCTGGTGGGATCTGGACGATACTAGAGCAGGACCTTCGGGTACCGACAGGCTCACTTCTCGACCAATTTGACCCGGTCATCACGGCCTTTGCCGAAGGATGCTGGAGCGCCGGGGTGGCACTGAACTTCCATGGTGCTTGGCGCTGGTGGGTGGCCCACTTTACCCACCTGAACAACATCACAGAGGTTCGTCACGAAGCAGCCATTGAGGCTGGGCTCCGCCAAGGATACATTGCTGACAAATTTCATCCGAGGCGTCATCACAGCACTGCAGCCCACGCCATGGCAGCCAAGGTGCTGCGGAAAGTACTGAGCCTGAAGTGGGCTCTCCATCCACGCCACCGCACGCGATCGGTACCTGATATTCTTCGATGGCGGGTCACGTGGAAACCCTGACCCGGGCGGCAGTGGGGCGGTGTTAATGCGCATCGGGGAAGACGTTGCATCTGCATCGATTTTCTGGGTGGATAGTATGTGACTGGCGTCTCGCCGCACCACCAACAATACGGCGGAGCAACTGGGGTTTCTACACGGACTGCGGGCGTGTTGTCCATGGCTGGACATCCCTCCATGTGGTAGGGCACAGTCACCTGGTGGCTCAACAACAGCGACGACGCTGTCCTTCGGCCAAGCTCCTCGTGGGAACATTATGGCAGAGCCACCGGCTTGCGGACCAGCTGCCGGTACCTACGTGGAATTATCACTACAGGGCGCACAGCAAGAAGGCGGATTACCTTGCTAATCTCGCAATGGATATGCGCAAGGGCACACATACACGCATTGACCCAGGGCGTGCGACGGATGCGCGATGAGCTCCTTTACTAGGACTTGCTAAGAACGACGTCGGCCATTGGCTTCGTCAACACATGAATAAGGACCTTTTAGAGGTTCGTAACCTTCACACTTAATTATGGACCTTACTTCATTGATCTAAGGTCGGTCACGCCCATCACTAGCGCTGTTGCGCGCCCGCGATTCGCGCGTCTGACGCCAAAATTATGCATAAAATTGGCGTAAATTTTGTACTGAATTAACAAATAAAATATCAGTGCACCTAATTTGCGTCTGGTTTTTGCTTTACGTTGTGCACTTATGCCCTGGTCCGCCCTGCCGAATTGGAGGTTCACGACTGTACAACCATATTAATCCCGTTCAGCTACAGTTAAACGCCCACCCTGTGTGTTTCTGTTCGATCTAATTTATAGGTGGGAAAGCGCGATATTTCAGCAGAACCGCCTTAACTATCCTTTACCGGTAAGTACTACTCGACTCCCTCCACAATGTTGTCTAAGTCAGATTGTCTTGCACTGATGACTTGCAGCCTGCAGCTTACCATGGCTGACAACGTTAGTGCTATGGACGGCAAGTGCCACGAAGGCGCGTCATTGAAAGCTTTCACAGTGTGATACCGAGTTAGAACCAATTCCTTTGATTTCTTAAGCCCATAGTTTCCCCTCGTATCCGCAAAGATTGTGAATCAGCCACAAAGGCCACAAAAAGACAAACAGAAAAAACGCTCGTACGCGTGAGAAGAGGAAATACGAGAAGAGGAAATACCATCGGTCAGTAGAAAACTACTGATCTGTCCCCAACGCGGCGCTGCCTGCACAACTACTGATTTCACAGCTACTGGAGTGCTGTTAAGTTCGCATTTGCATTTTCTCTTAGTCCTGCCTCGTTTGGTGTTAAGTTCGCATTTGCATTTTCTCTTAGTCCTGCCTCGTTTGGTCTATCAGTCTCTGACTCCGGCGCGTTGGCTGCTCGCGACGCTGGGTTCGTCTTCCCCGCGTAGATTGATAGACCCAGACGAAATTGACTGACTCGTGCTCGAACACCATCTTTAGGCGCGCTGGCACGTTGGCACTTGGCTCCCGCGTCAACTCTGTGTACCCCACCCATTGAATAAGGTAGTATACGAAGTTATTGACCCACCGTTTGGCGAATATTCTTTCTACCTCGAAGAGCTGAGCATTGTCTCCTCTACGAGCTCGGCGCTCGTTTGCAAAAAGACCTCCTCCTCTACTGACAACGTCACGTAACCCACCACCTATGGACGATGCACGCACGGCGTCCAGCTCTCGGTCGACTTCGTTCGGTATGCTAACTTCTCTGCTTAGACAAAGCTGCCAAAAGGAGCCGTCCAAACGGCGCTGGATCGTTCGGGCGTGACGCTGTCGGAGGTTGAGCGGAGGCATCGACCAAAATGGCGAATGCCACCGACGTGCACTCCACAAAAACAACCATATAAATAAAGGCGTTTTGAGCAGCTAAAAAATAGTACACCGAAATAACATGTTGACGTTGAAGTAGCTGAGTACACGACGTATCCAACTGGTTACTCTAAGGGTACGTTAGTAGAGTTCTATCTACTCACAGAGATTGACTCCCCAGTCCGTTTGCTGCTGATATTTATTGAGAGTGAGGATCAGTAAGATAATGTATTGGAAAGAAATACCTTAATTATTAATCAGCAGTCAACGATTGCAATTGTTTGTGTCGTTAGCTTCCTTATTTGTGTTGGAAACTCAGTGTCTGCAATATTGGTTCGCGTCGCGTATGCTCCCCCATACTTTTGGCTAGAGCGGTCTGAGGTATCAACTTCTGCGTCCTCCCTCAAAACACCCATGCTTATAGCTGTAGCGATGTCAGAAAGATCTACCACGAAGGGAGAACTCCCATAATTCGGAGGCGGCTTTCGAGGTATGGTACGCTTAGGGCAAAAGCGGTTTTGCTGAAGGCAGCAGAAATGTAGCTATGATAGAGTTAGGTACGGATCGAACTTTATCATTTTCTACTGATTGCCGTCTTTTCTGCGCCGCGTTGGGGACAGATCAGTAGTTTTCTACTGACCGATGGTATTTCCTCGCGTGAGAAGCGTGATTCTCTCTCAACGGCGTTCTTCATTGATCTAAGGTCGGTCACGCCCATCACTAAATGACAACCATGTTTAAAAAAAAGTGATTCACACGAGCCGCATTTTTCTGGCGATAATTGCTAATTAATCTTGTCATTAGATATTGCAGAAGATTTTGTGATTATCAACATGCGAAACCGGGTATTCAATGGACTACGACACCCTATTTTTTCATCCACTCTGTGACTGTCGGCTGCTTGAGCAGCTCTGCGTGGTACAGCTCCTTATCGTAGCCGTAGTCAAAGAAAAGCTGTAAGATACCCGAGTTGAATGCGTCAGATGCAGAAATAGACCCATACAGTAATGCGGCGTACCTCCGTGTGTGGCTGAATGTCATGGATTGCAAATAACCCGATACGGAAATCACTGCTGACGTTCATTATCTTGCACGCACAGTTCGGATTTTTGGAGTGGTTAATAAACTAAAACCCAATGAGACGAGACGCTCGTTAGAAATGACCAGATCAGCATAAAGCAGGCAACAACACGAGACGTACTCTGGTCTTGTTGCCCTTCCGCGTTGAGTCGATAACCGTCTTGGTGTCCAGATTGAACAGATAACTAGGCACAGAGAACAGACCGTAAGAACATGACGCACATGCTGTTGCAATACTGGTGGGAAATATGTGGGCCGTACCTGCGGTCGACCTTGTCGTAGACAGCTCCACGTCTATCAGCCTCTTCTTGTGACACCATTTCGCCAATATACTCGATGATAAACTCGTCCTTCGCCACAAATTCCTCTACAAAGAGTCCCCAGCCAGCTGCGCTAAGCTTTGAGCGACCCATTCGCACATGTTTCTCCTTAGATAACGCGATACTGCGATTCTGGCAAGACGTTTGCTGCTTTTCGTCTTTGTTCATGTTGTCCGATTTGCCGTCATACGGTGCACCTCTCTCGCGCGCTGCGATTTCGTCTGCGCAGCACAACTTGCACAAGTCGATATCGCACTCACGACCCGCACAGAAGCAGGGACACGCCTTCGTACGACACCGACCACGCTGACACTGGCATCCGGGAAAGAAGATTTTGCAGTGCTCGTGGACGCAGTGGCAGAGCTTTGAGCAGAATATTCCATCTTCTACACAGGAGCAAACACCGGGCTCACAGGGCCCCTCGTGGGAACATGGCTCGATTCTATGGTATCAAGATCCACAGCTCATCAGTTAATCATATACGAAGTACACTGATAACGTGCATGGGGAATTATGTTTGCGTACTTGATTTGGACAGAGTTCACCACACCGTTTTGCGAGCCTGTCGCATCGTTTACAAGACATCGAACAGCAAGGTGAGCAGCGTAGTCAAACACAAGCTCGCAAAGGGTAATGTGCAGCCCAGCCACAGCCCGAGACCGGTGGTCTCTTCCGTCTCAGGAGGATCAAAAGGGGTGTGAGCAATGCTCAGTGTTTGTCACTACATGTGGCCGTGATGCTTTGATCTTGAAGCATCACAGCGTATCTTGGCGACAATTACATGCAGTTGAGCTCTACAGTTCAAACACGCACACGTACTCTGTAGATGGGAAATGGACATTCGTGAATTTTTCTTCTTCCTCGAGCGTCGACTCTTGGGTGGAGGACGAATCTGAGTGGTTGGAAGCACAGCATCAGCACATCGTTAGACCAGGCCTTCTAGCGTATCGTTTCTCACGCGTACGTACCTCTTTCGGCAGGCTGCGATCGTTGATATCGTAATGCGCACACATCTCCGCCACTTCCATGCAAGTTTTATCGCCGAGTATCTTCGCCATTTCACAAAAGTTGCCCGAGCACAGAAAGTAAACGCGCGCACAGAGAACCCGCGCCTTTGTGTTCCACCCAAAAGCGGCCGAGATAGCGCTGGCCTTGGAAAAGCCATTAGAGCTGGACGAGCTCATTTGCCCAAGGAAGCAGTGGTTCCCGCAGTTGCGTCCAGTGTTGATCATTGAATCCTTGCCCTTCAGATTCAGCGCCACAGCATTTTGCGCCGAGATTTTCTATGCGCCACAACAAACGTGTGACATATCAGCGCAATAAAAGGCACATAGTCAACTACTACGTCTCCTTACCAGCTTCGGCTGATCGATGCATCCATGGTAGTCGCAATCGTAGACGCAACAGCGTCGACAGAATAGACCTGAGCGCAGACATTGAGTGTATTAACGCCACAAACCAATAACCCAGCTAGTGACAGGATGCCACGTACTGCGATAGGAGTCCGCGGATTGTTCGTACAGCTCGAAATATTCCTCCATAGAGAGATCAGCAGAGTCCGACTCGCCGTTTATCCGCGTCGAGTTAGTCTGTGCACTTGCAGCAGCCATCGCCTCCGTGCGGCGCTTCTTCTTGGCTGCACGTTGCGACAGACGTAGATTCTTGTGTACCTCCACCAAAACCTCCTCTTCCACATGGATAACGCTGGCCACACGCTTGAGATCGCTCGGCGTGAGATCCCACGTGGACTGAAGGGTCTTGAGCACACCTTCACACATTTCCTTGGTGAATTCCACCTCGCACGCACTGGTTCTCTGCTGTCTAGACAATGACGCGCATCAATTTCGTCAGTCTCAGTCAGTGCCAACCAACCGCCTTCCACAAGCATAAAAATCTCCTCACTTGATCTGGTAGAACTCTGACACGACGTCCTCTTCGTCGTCGTCGCCGAAATACGGCAGAAACTTCAACGTTGGTTCGTCCTCCACCTCGTAGTTTTTGGTCAGTGCCGTCCACATTGTTGCCGTTGGGATTGACGGAATCTTCGGCAGAATCACCGCCCGCTTGTACATTGTCGTGCTGGGATTCGGCAAGCTGAACTTGACGGTGTCTTTCGCGTATAGGTCTGGTTCCACTGGCAGCTCCGATGCTGGCAAGCATAAGCAATAATCGTTAGCTCCTTTTCACTTCAAAATATTATTTTTGCAAATGTGGACGCACTCTGTGTTCTGATGCCTAGCAGCGCTTCGTCTGGCGGTGCCAGGTGCTGTTGTCGTCTACGTCGCTGCTCGACCATGTACAGCGAGCCCTTGAGGCGATTGCGCGCCACTTCAGTCTACTCAATAATTTTACAATAATTGTATCCATGTGACGACCATCGAAAAACAATAAAGTAGTCAACTCGAATCAATTCTGCTGCTTACGCTGGCGGCAATTTGATGCGAGCGGACGACATGATTGAACGCCTCAGCAGCCTGTGCACAAAGTTGCTCCTCCATCTCAGACTCCGAAGGTTCGGTGGCGTCTCCATCATCTGAGTCGTGTGGTAGCTTGTGGCTCTCATTTTGGTCGTCCCGCGGCATATTTGCAATTGCCGCCAAAATCTAATTGCGCTGGTAAAGTTGCGCCAAAGTTGCACAGGAATTGACCCACCATCAAAAATTGTGTTTTGCAACATTAAATTAGAGTGTGGGCTGGTGGCTGGCGGACACAAGCTCATAAGCGGACGAATGGCGGCCGGAGACAAGAAGGCGGCCTTCGCCACGCGCTCGGAGCGCGCGCTGGTGCTGAGCATCGTGCGTGAGGACTTTGGTGATGTAGCAGAGAAGGTGGTCGAGACGCTGCTGCGCGCCGAGGGCCTGAGACTGGCTGAGATCGCGCACAAGTTGCAGCGCCAGACAGCGGCTTCATCCTCGGCGCCTTCAGTGCATCAGGTGCGTAAAATGTGGCGGTTCAATGTCATTTCCTCAAGCGCTAACTTGGTGTTATGCTGCACATATGAAGATCAAGTGCGCGCTGCTCAAGTTGCTGCAACACAATGTGCTGGACGTGACTCCCGTGGCTACACCTCGAGGTGGTGCGCCTTCGGTCGCGTACAATGTGCGAATTGCAGTTATGTAATGTTTGTATTCATGGCAAGCTATTAATCTGCTTTATTTGTGGCAGATTAACGTGCAGGAAGCGCTGTACCGCCTGCGATTCCCGAAGTTTATCGAGTTAGCTAAAGAATTGTTCGGCTTGGAGGGCGAAGTGGTCATGGAAGAAGTGCTGGTGCAGGGGCGTGTGCGTATAGACCAGTCTGTCGAGACAATGGCCTATAGTTTGGCCGAACAGCGACGTCAGCAACAGAAAGTGAAGGCTCAGGAGGACAGAGAGCAGGCTACAGCTACAGAGGAGGAGGAAATCAGCGAGGAAGAACTGGATGAGTGCCGCCATTTGGTGCGTGAAACTTTCGTGGAAATGGCTAAGAAGCGCTACATCTCTCGCGTGCATCCGCTGGACTTAAAGGTGGCAGAACCGGAAGAAACCCCAGACTTCCCTGCCAGTATCATGCGCGGACAGGATAAGGGCCCTACCAGCAACTTGAACAGTAAATCTGCAGCTGCAACGGCTGCTAATGGCGCTACTGTGAACGGAAAAGTCGCAGCTGAGGACGGCATCACAGTGCGCGGTAAGAAGCGGAAGGCTCCGTCGCCGCCGTCTGGAAACGCTGTCCCTGTGGAGCTGCAAATGATGCTGGACGCTGATGAAGCGGCTCGAAAGGAAAAAGACGACTCGGAAGCTGAGTGGGAGCCTAGTTCGGCCTCATCGTCGACGTCTTCGCGTGGCTCCAAGCGCAAGAAAAACTCGAAGCGTGCTAAACTTCCCACACGCGGCACGTCCTCTGGAGACGGAACTACCGGTGGCGAGACCAGCGGCGAAGACGCCCCTGGTGGCTCTGGGGCTCACACGGACGAGCGTTCTTTGGTCTGGCGCTTCGGCGTGACTCAACTGCTACGTGATCTTCGACACAAAGCTTGCATTCGGTTTGCTACAGAGAACGTCAACGCTGTCGCCGGCGTCATTGTGACTGCCATGCTGCAGCACTCGGCCCCACGTGAACGCGAGAAAGACGAACCTACGTCAGCTCCAGTGTCAGCGCGTGATCTGTTCAACATGGAGAGCGTCAAGAACGCGCTGCCTGCTGAGGCGAACAATCCGTGGCGACTCTTACTCAATTACATTATGGTCATGTGTCGTGACAAGTCCGGAATGGTGATGAAGGTCGCTCAGGAGGCGTTCGACCCGACCCAGGCGCGCGCAGGTGACGGCGGCCAGTATGTGGTGCACATGCAGAAGATTATGGAGTTCTTGCAACAAGCCACGACTCACGCGTACATCCAGGACAAGTATGGCGTTGCGAGCGCGCGTATCGTACGTCTACTGGTGGAGAAACGTCAGTTAGAGCAGAAAACTATCGGCGAGCTGGCGCTGCTGCCGTCTAACGATGCGCGGCACCGGCTGTACGAGTTGTATACAGACAAGGTGCTCAAGATGCAGGAGATCCCCAAGCGCGCGGACCATAATCCGGCCTTCACGTTCTTCTGTTGGTCCGTGGACGTGCCGCAGATGCAGGCGCGTATCACGGAGCGCGTGCAGGACTCGCTGTGTCGTCTTCGTCGTCGACGTAAGTTCGAGGCGGAGGAGAACAAAGAGCTCATTGCGCGGTCGGAGCAGCTGGTTGAAGCCAACGATCTGGACAAATTCGACAAGCTCAGCCGCTCGCTCGACCGTCTCGACCGTGCCATTATCCACTTAGACGGTATGCTGATGCTCTACCGCGATTTCTAGATCGCCCAAGCAAGTCAAGAGTTGACACCAACTGCAGCCGGCAGACGTAATATATCCTGGTTTTGCCGTTCGTGCCGTCCCATCCCAGTGCTGCAACTGTGGTGCGGTCCCTGTGTTTGACGTTGTGGTCGTTGCTATGATGACCATATTTAGTAGTCGCCGACGGCTCGCTCCATTCCTTGAAACGATCTCGATCTTCCTGACCGATGGATTACTATGAGCTGCTCCAAGTCCCACGTGGCGCCAATGAGATGGAAATCAAGAAAGCGTAAGTGTGTCAGCTTCTCTGTTGTAAAGTAGCTGCCTCGTGTTGAGTCTTGTGTATTGATGGGCTGCAGCTATCGCAAACTGGCGATGAAATGGCACCCTGACAAGAACAAGAGCAACATGATGGAAGCTCAGTATCGCTTCCAGGAGATCTCCGAGGCTTACGACGTGTTGAGTGATCCGGAACGTCGTGCCATCTTCGACCAGTACGGCTATGACGGACTCAAGAACGGCATGCCGGACGAAAACGGCGACACGCGCGACGGCTACGCCTTCAACGAACGCGCGTCCGAAGACGTGTTCAACAAGTTCTTCGGGACAAATAACCCGTTCGGCGACTTTGGATTTGGCGACACCTTGCCGTTCGCGAGCTCTCTGCGTAAGAAAGGCCCCGAGAAAGCCGAACCCATTGTGTGTGAGCTGGTGTGCACGTTGGAAGAGCTTTTCCTGGGGACAGCCAAGTCCATCGTCATCGCGCGCATAAGGCTGCAGAAGGACGACCTGGTAGACGACGCTAAGACTTTTGTGGTCAAGGTGAAGCCTGGCTGGAAGGCTGGCACCAAGATCACATTCGATCGCGAAGGCAACGAGACTCGAGCCAATGAAGCGGGAGACGTGATCTTCCAAGTGGTGCAGCAAGAACACAATCTGTTCAAACGTGATGGCGCTCACCTGGTGTTCACGGCTAAGTTAAAGCTGAGTGAGGCTCTGGGTGACTACTGCGTGGAAGTGCCGACGCTGGATGGTCGTAAGCTGGCCATTTCGTGCAACGAAGTGGTGAGTCCCAGCTCCGAGAAGCTGGTGAAGAAAGAAGGCATGCCGATCTCCAACCAGCCAGGAGAACGCGGGGATCTGCGCATCAAATTCGACATCACCTTCCCTCGCCATCTCACGACTCTCCAGAAGACAGCGCTAGCAAAAATCTTAGGCTAACGTTAGTTGTCATTAATACACCCAGCTCGTAAGCTAAGCTAATAATTTATTCCTGTCGGAGGATATTTTAAGAGCTCGGATTACTACCGAAGGGTTCATCTGTAAGAGTTGCAAAGGTAATACTACGTAGTAGTACTAGCTTGAAGTTTCTACGTAGTACTACGGTAGTACTACGTAGAAACTTGAGGTATACATGTCAATTTAACCCATATAACCTATTACTTATTCGTGAAACGCGCTTTTGTCGCCAGTCAAAAACACAGAACGAGATGGCATCTGAGGTTGATGCTGCCAAGCCTAATGCCGCTACGGTCAAGGCGCTAGCCGATCTGTCGCGCGAAAAGATGGAGCAGTTCAAGGAGAAGGCGGAGCGCCGAGGAGTGGTGTACATAGCGCGTGTGCCACCCTTTATGAAGCCGGAGAAATTGCGCCACTTGCTGGGTAAGTACGGCGAGCTGAATCGCATCTACCTGGTACCGGAAGACAAGGCGCTGCACAAGAAACGCGTGAGTAGCGGCGGTAATCGCCGGCAAAAATACACGGAGGGATGGATCGAGTTTGAGAACAAGAAGGTGGCCAAACGTGTGGCGAAGATGCTCAACACGACGCAGATCGGTGGACGCAAGCGCGACTACTACCACGACGATATGTGGAATCTCAAGTACCTCAAGGGCTTTAAATGGGACCACTTGACCGAGAAGATAGCGTATGAGAATCGTATCCGCGATCAGAAATTGCGCATGGAGATTGCACAGGCGAAGAAGGAGAATGAGGCTTACTTGGAGCGCGTGGAACAGTCCAAGCAGTTCGAGAAGATGGAGGCACGCAAGGCCGACAAGAAGCAAGATGGACATGCAGCAAAAGATGCTATGCAGCACATACGTCGCACATTCCACCAGAAAGCTCCTGCAAGCAGCAAACAGAACCTGTCCCTTGGAGATGGAGAACTCGAGAAGGTCTTTGTCGCCAGCAGCAAGAACAAGAAACGCCGGGTGGAGTAAAGTACAACAGTAACTCATTCAAATAGATGCACACTTTTCGTAAAGAGGACACACGCAGTACGAACCAAGTTTCTCCTTTCATCTCTATAGTTCGTCCTTCGACTTGACTATCGCTGGCCTTGGCAGCGGTGCTCGCCTTCGGTGGTGCGACAGCATAGTGGGACGGTAACAGACTGCTGTACGCCATCCTCCGCATCGACCAGGTACTCCAGCATGACTTTTTCTCCATCCGTTATTTCCCACTGATGCCCCCCCTGAACCGAGCTGTACTCAATGCTGCCCTCGTTGGCTCCAAGCGTGGTCATAAACATTTAGACCAATACATTTCCACCTCGCGCGACGATTCGTCGTACCAATCGTATCTTTGATTGAATATTTACTACTTCAAGCCCCTAGACCGAAAGTGTTACTTCAAAAGGTCCTTACATGAGTTCACTGTACAATCACAAAAACAACAGACAACAGTCAGTAAGACGTTCTAGCAGCAGCATCCGTCACAGTATCCACTTACTAAGCAGGGCCGCCTCCGCCTTCAGGGACAGTCCAGTTAATGTACTCCTTGGGCATCTTGATAGAGCAGCATTTGCAGTGGACGCAGTTCTGGGCGTTGATCACAAGCTGCGGGACGCCATTGGCTTCGCTGCCGTCAGTGTATTCGTAGACGCGGGCAGGACAAAACCGCTGCTCTAGGCCAGCGTACACCGGGAACGATTCCTTCGAGGGAACCTCCGTGTGCTCCGGTTTAATACGCAGATGAGCTGGCTGGTCGTGGTTGTGGTTGGTACCGCTGCGTTGCAGATTAGAGAGCAGGTCGAATGTCAACTCGCCGTCCGGTTTCGGGTACTCAATGGGTGTGAAATCCTTTGCCGGACGCGTCTTGGCCGAGTCTGGCTCGGTGTTCGGAAGAGTCCACGGCTCCTTTCCTCTGAGGACGTGCGTCGCCACTCCAGCGTGCAGCAGCCCAGGTAGGAACCCCTTGTGGAAACCAGCGTGTACATTACGAACAGCCTTGAGCTCCTCGGCAATCCATGAATCTTCCACTGCAGCTTCGTAGCTCGAGATGTCAATAGCAGGTTCCTCAGCGTTGATCTCCGCCGTCTCAGCGACGGTATCCGCACCAGTGGCGGTTAGAGCCTCATAAGCAGCCTCAGCAGCAAGCATACCCGACTTCATAGCAGTGTGGGTGCCCTTGATCTTCACGCCGTTCAGGAAACCAGCCGAGCAACCAATCAAACCACCACCAGGGAACGTCAGCTTCGGGATAGCGTGGTAGCCGCCTTCGTTCAGGCAACGAGCACCGTACTGGACGCATTCACCGCCCTCCAGATACTTTCGGATCGCTGGATGAGTCTTAAACCGCTGGAACTCCTCGTACGGGTTGATATACGGATTCTCGTAGTCCAGACCAACAACCACACCGATCTGCACCAGATCGTCCTCCATGTGGTACATGAACGAGCCGCCGAAAGTCTTGTCCATCACCGATTGCTGCAACGGCCAGCCGAGTGTGTGCTGAACAAGGCCAGCCTGGTGCTTCTCCTTAGGGATACGCCACACCTCCTTCACGCCGAGACCATACGTCTGGGGCTGCACACCTTCGCGTAAGTTGTACTTCTCCATCACCTCCTCACTGCAAGAGCCACGGCAACCCTCACCAAAGAGCGTCTGTAGCAAACGTACATCAAATACCTGTCAGCACCTGTAGAATAAAACCTCCACCATAGTAATTATGTACGTACAACACGAGCACGGAGTTCCATGCCGCGAGCAAAAGTTCCCTTGGGCTTGCCGTCCTTGCCAACGCCTACATCGCGTGTGGCGATGCCGCCCACAGAGCCATCCTCACGGTACAGCACTTCGGACGCTGAGAAGCCCGGGTAGATCTCGACACCAGCCTCCTCGGCCTGCTCGCCCATCCAGCGAACGAACTTGCTCAGACTGATGATGTAGTTGCCTTCGTTGTGCTAAAAGATTGTCAAATCACAGAGGATATAAACGGTTGACGTCAGGAAAAAAATCTTTATCTCGCCACAACCAGAATTCAATGGAAAAGCCACAGCTCACCTCCTCACGAGGCAATAAGAAGTGCGGCAGACCAAGCGACTTGTCCTCGGTGAGCAGCAGGAACTTGTCTTTGGTCACGGGCGTGTCCAGAGGGGCGCCCAGATCCTTCCAATCGGGCAGCAACTCGTCTAGCGCGCGTGGCTCGAACACATTACCTGACACGATGTGCGAGCCCACCTCGGCGCCCTTCTCGACCACGCACACGGACAGATCCGTGCCCTTCTCGGCCGAGAGCTGCCTCATGCGGATCGCGGCCGCGAGACTCGCAGGACCGGCGCCCACCTGTCGGCAATAGCGCAACCGACCCAATTAGTATGACCATCACTCCGATTCCGCAATGACAATCACTCTGTAAGCTACGTACCAGCAACACGTCGTAGTCCATGGCCTCACGTGGCTCATTGAGCATCTCCTGCTCCTCTGGTGTGAGCCCGACGGACGACAGGAAGCGCGAATGCGCGGCGACCGGTTGCCGCTTGAGCGTCTGTAACTTTGTGCGCAGTGACAGCGAGCGGCGCCACATGATGCAACGCTCTCTACTTCGTTTCTTTGGACACTTGAGCGCAAGCTCGGGTTTTCTGCAATGGCTGTCTACATCGTCTGCACTCACCCGATCCAACCGCCACACCCTACAAAGCCGCGCTCCTGCATGTAGGTTGGCTAATTCCGATTTTAAATTCTCTGGTTGGTGGAAAATCCATTCTGGCATCTTTGTAAGTCGGTTACAAAATTTATAAAACCTAACTAAACTTAGCCTATCAGTTAAATGCTGCCTGACTCGCGTTCACTAAATGTGGGAGCTGTAAAATCTACAGAATTGAGCACCATTAATCAAGCAAATGCTGTAAATACTGCCACCAAACATCTCTTAAAAGGTAGCAGCACCAGTAATAATCGTCCGCGATTATCCAACCGTGTTTGTTTGCCCATCGTCCTCGCTGTGCCGAACTTCGAGCCCACTCTCTTATTATTAAAAGTGATCTCGACTTGAGAATCCCCATCGGTGCTTAGCGGCGCAGCTACGTAAGTTAGGTTGAAGCGGGAGAAGCCACGAGCGCTGCTCATTGTTGCATTCTCGTTTCTTCCAAACTGCAGATTGGATCGTAAGGGTATTGTAAATGCTTTACTGCATCCAATCATCTGATTAGACGAAACCAGGCATCCCGAAAAATAAATAATCTCGGAAAAGTATTCATATTTTGTGTTCCAATAATTTATTTTAGGAAGAAGTCGTAGGTGAACCCGATATTTATGTTCAGTACTCTAAAAAATCAATACCATATTTTCCCTCGTCCATCCAAACCCAGGAGACCCCGTAGCCATTCATCGCATTTATTCCTTACTGAAAGCTCGCTGTCGCATTTTCAAACCTGCTACCAGCCTCCCAACTTCTCCTATTCTCCCAGTCGCCACAATGACCGACAACCTGCTCTCTGCTCCGCCCACAAGGCCCACCTTCTCGCCCAGGCAAATCACCACCTTCTTCTTCTCGTCCTGCGCTGATTGAGAAGGTGTGCCAACGGGTGTGTATGCGTGCAAGTCTTGTGGGAAGTGTCGCAAGCTCACGCCGAAGACGGGCTACTCTAACCTGGTCTCGCATGTTCGGACTGCGCACCCGGACTTCGAGAGCGCCATGCGTGACGCGACTGTGGCCTCGACGGGAGCACTATTGCCCTGGGTGAGCCAAAAGGCATCCAATCGTTATGCCTGGCTGCGTTGGGTCATCACGGGCAACCTGCCGTTCTCATTCTGCGAGTCGAATGAGACCCGACGGTAAGTATTTCGGTATTTTATTTTAACATTTGTATTTGCACTCTAATTATTTTTTTACATAGGTATACAAAGCTTAACCCCATCTCCGAGGAGACACTGACAGCTATCATGGAGGCGGTGACAAAGGCCGTGGAGAAGGCTATTGGGGACGAGATGTCTGAGAACTTTGGTCTCGTTCTCGACGGTTGGACCCACGGTATGGAACACTATTTGGCGGTCTATGCATGCTACAAAACCTCGGCGGGCTTGCAGCTCCCACTATTGTCGCTAGCCCCTGTGATGGACGAGCCCGACGACCAACTCAATGCGGAGGGCCATCTCACGGCAATCAAGCGATTTCTGCCTTTCTTTGGTAAGTCAGTATCCGGCTGTCTATTTTTAGTCGGTGACAATTGCGCGGTAAACAAACGGCTGGCCGATTTGCTTGGTGTGCCGCTTGTCGGTTGCGCAAGTCACCGACTAAATCTTGCCGTGCGGGACTTCTTGGAGCCCAGCGAGGACGACCTCGAGGCGGTACAGCAGCTTATGCGTAAGCCCCGCACTCTTAAGCAGGCGGCGAAATTACGGTATGCTGAGAATCTGACTGTATGAGGCTTTTATGCAGTAATACAAATGTATGTGTAAACCGTTTTGCAAATTTACAAAAATAGCACCAAAACACCACTTCGGGCGGTTCTGGGACAAGATACACGCTGGTCATCGACTTTTTCGGATGCTGAAACGGTACTTTCGCATCGAGGAGTTATTTGCGCGACGATGACGAGCTCGCTGACTATCTACCATCGCGGAAAGCGCACAGAAGCTTGCCGCGCTACTCGCCAGCCTGGAGGACGTGGAAGTGTGACGGGGTCACACAGCACCTTGCACAGAGGAAGTGCTTAAGGGTATTAACTACCCGAGTGAACGCTAGTCCACGTGTTCCCGGCCTCAAAAGGAACGGTTTGCTACTTAGAAGAGTGGATTTAAGACTGATGTATTTATAAGTAAGATAAGCTTGGGTCACATACAAACTAGAGGTTACCTATAGTGGAGCAAAGTAGTCATGCACTGACTGGTTCCGAGAGCACCTGGTGCCGTGTACCAGGTGTCCACAAGACTGACGAGTCACTCTTTATGTAACATGGGGCACACTAGATTGTACCCCGTTACATCCTCCCGCACTTAACTGAGAATCACCTGATTCTCCAATCACAACTGATTCTCCAATCAGAAGTGAGAGAATTAAAACACCAAAAGGTGAATTCTCACACTGAGCAGCCACGAGACTGGCGCGGCTCTCAGTCACACCCACATTGACTTGTGCTACCAAAGCTCACTGGGATTTGCATCCCTATGCTCACAACTGTGTTGGCCGCAAAGCCTACACTCAGAGCTGCCTTAGCTCCTGTGCTAGCGCGCGTACAGTGCTTAGGCACAGGGTGCAATAGCATCCGAACGTGTGGCATTCGCCCACAGTTCGCACCAGAGGACACGACAGTCCTCGTGAACGCGTCCGGAGCATGGTGTCTCCCGCGATGGACGACACCGAGAAGGGCAGCACCTTCCCCAGCACTAGAGGGAGCTCTCAGCTCACTTCGGGCCATGCCTTTGGCTCCAGCAAGGATCCATCCTTGCGGGCGGGATTCTGCCACGCTCTCTTCGCGTCTTGGTAACCATACTAACGGCGCGTAGGTGTCCTTCATCGACACCGTGTACCGTGACGGTACACAACCGTGGTGTAGGTGTCTCCCATCGACACCATGTACCGTACGGTACTAACCTTTGGTGCGGTACACCCACCACAAGGTTGCCATGTTTGGCGGCAACAGCTTCTGCTGTGCTGTCGCCTGAACATATTGATGGCCAGTGCTCGCATCATGCACGACGCATGTGCAAGCACAGTGTACAGGTCCATGGGCCCGTACACGAGGTACGCTGTGTACGACACATACCACAGCTACCATAAGTGCTCCGTGTACGTCATGTGTGTCATGCACGACGAGTTCATTACGTGGAACTCCTGGCAGGCTGCTCGACAGCAGCCAGTGCCGATGCACGGTACGTGCGTTGACTAACAGCGTCCAGAGCGCATCGGGTCGTGGTATGGTGCATATCCTTTGCACCTATACCAGTGTCTTTCACAGACACCATGTACCTTGATGGTACTCGACCGCGGGGGGGCACATCTCACCACTATGCCACTGCGGCATTGGTGTCTGGCACTGACACCGAGTACTCACGGGTACCAACCCATGGTGAGGCAAGCAGCCATCACCACGGTGTCATGCTCGGCGCGGCACCAGTTACGACTGCGTGCGTTGCCTCGACCACCACCTGGTCAGTTGTGTGTGCACACTTGGGTTATGGCTCCACGGCCCATTATACCCGGCGCGTTGCGTACATCACGTACCGCAATCGCTTTGTCGGCGGGTGAGACGTTCCGTTCACCCAACTCGACAGGTCGTTCATGACCAAGGGACCAGTGCGTTGATTGCACTAGGCCCGCGCTTCGCCTCGTGTGTGGTTGCTTGCAACCCCAACACTACTGGTTCGCTCAGCGATTCCGAGGCACCTTGCGCCAGTGGCTTTCTTTGCCACTATGTCTTGTTCGGCTAGAGCTACCGCAGCTCTAGCGCGGCTGTTCGCCTCCAGTCTGCAGTCGATGTACATCGACGCCTGGTTCCGTAAGGAAAGGTATTTCCGAGCCTCTCCCCCGCTTACACTCGAGACTATTGAGTCTCTCGTGGCTTGTGATAGCCACTGGCAGCACGACGGCTACTTGCCTCTTGGAAAGTCAGGGAGGAAAGGTATTTCCGAGCCTCTCCCTCACTTAACCTCGAGACTACTGAGTCTCTCATGGCTTCTAATAGCCACTGGCAGGCGCAACGGCTCTCCGCCATGTGCACTGCGTCGGTATGGTCGACCGCGTCGGCCGTGTCGACCGAAGGCATTCAGCCTTCGCGTCAGCAGTTTGAGTCTGCGCGACTTGACGTCGAGCGAGTTGCTCACGTCTGGCGAGGCCAAGACTCGCGCCTCGAGCCAATGACTCTGTGTGCGGCGCTATGTTACTCGCCTTAGGTGTGGAGCTCTGTTACCCACCTTGGTTGTGTCGAACTCTGTTACCCACACCGGAAGCGCATACAGCGACTTCCTTATCAGCTATGGTCTGAGTAATCTTGCGTGGAACCTTGTTACCCACGCTCGGAGCACCGAATGTCGGTCTCCTTAAGCAGCTTCGCTGCTTGCGGAACTTGTTACCCGCAGTGTGGACCTATGTTACCCACCTGGTGAATGCCCTTCGGCACCACCACTGTCGAAGCGCATACGGCGCGACGACCTTTGGTGTTGGGGTCAGCTGACGTGGCAGACCCGCACACACACCGGACAGAGTTGATGTCCACCGACCGAGTCAGAGGAGTCCGGGCCCTGGACTCCGAGTCGCTTGAAGCGACGTCGGCCTGAACAAGGTTCAGACCCGACTTGCGGCGGCTGACGTGACGTGGCACTTCGTTACCCACGTCATGATGTCTCGTTGACGACATCAGAGGCACTCGAGACCTCGTGTGGCACTGTGTTACCCACACAGGAAGCATGGACAATGCCTTCCTCTTCAGTTATAGTCTGGGCGACTGCGTGTGGTACTGTGTTACCCACACAGGAAGCACGATCATGCCTTCCTCTTCAGTTATAGTCTGGGCGACTGCGTGTAGTACTGTGTTATCCACACAGGAAGCACGGTCATGCCTTCCTCTTCAGCTATAGTCTGGGCGA